CTCCCCACTCCCCCAACCCGTCAAGCAACAAATAAAAGATGATGAGAAAAAACAACACAGAGAGAAACAGAGAGAGAGAGAGAGACTTATAGAAAACTTGTTCTTCTTGATATTTTTTATACAAATCAATAATGCCTTGAAAAAACAATCTAAACCACTTTTTCCGCTGCTCTTCTGTACGGAAGTTGGAAAAATATCAACTATGCAGCCTATTTTATTTCTCAAAGCATTCAGATGGCTGATATTGATCATTCCAAATAACCTCAGTATATAAATAATGATACATGTAGTGAGAACAGGAAACTGACGTGCCGTGACTTCGGGAGAACATTGCTCTGTCTACAACTGGACACACACAGACTGTTCTGTTGTTTCGAGGGTATATAAACCAGTCAAACAAATGTATCTGTTCCATTTGCATAAAAGGTTATGTAATTTTAAAATGTTAAAACTCATTCTAAGAATGTGAAGAAAAAGTTTTCTTTTTTTATCTATTTTAACTGCTGACCACTGTATATTATCATTGTTTTCTTTGAATTACAATTTTTTTGTAGAAAAGATTAACTAGGCGGCAATAATAGTAATAGTAAGAACAGCATCAGTGATAGTAAATATTGTATGAGTAATAGAATTAAAGATATTAACAAAAATAACAACAATAACATAGATAAAATAATAACTGAGATTATAATTATAATAATAATAATAATAATAACAATGATGACAGTGAGAACAATAAAAACAATTTTCTGTACATCTGTCATAAAATTAAACGGCACAACTGTTTTTATATAAAAGTTTACAGAGGAAAGAAAAAGAAGGAAATAGAAGAAGATGGAGATAAAAAAAAAAAGGAAAAAGACGACGATAATGGTGACAACAAATATATTGGTGATTTTTGATGAGTTACTAAAAAACAGTTGTAAAATCAAAAAGGAAAAATAAGCAATTGTAATGAGCAATAAAGCAGTTGTATAAAAGCAAATACACTTTACCGCTTTGTTTTAAAGTATCTGTCCCCTGTTTCTTCAATTTTTTTTTAGTTTAGCTGAAACATTAAATATAGAAATAGGTTTTTGTCTGCTTATAAGAAATTAAAAATTAGACTGCATTTTCTAAAAGCTAATAAAACCAAGCAATCTTTTTTACTTATCTAAATCATCAAAAGAAAAAAACAGATACTACTTCATAAAAGAAAAAAAAAAGTTTAAGACCTAGGTTTTAAAAAAGTAAGAAGAAATAAAACCAAAAGAAAAGACATGTAGAAAAACATAGAAAAAATTCAGATCTATATTTGTTTCTGGAATAAGTGATACTGATGAAACATAATAGATCCGTCTCACCTTGAAAAAAAAAATTTTTATGAACTCTTAAATCTAGATTCTTTCTTTTCTGATATTAACCAAACAGGCCAGCTGATTTTTAAGTGATACCACTGTTTACAGCAAAATCTGTTAATGCTCTGGTGCTGCTGCTGCTGCTGCTGCTCTCTTTCAGCTGTTGATAAGTCCAGGAAAATTAAGTGAGTGAGCAATATGATTCATCAAAACCTTTATTATATACAGTTCTTTTATTCTTTAAAGATCATTTTGTTGGTAAAAATTTTTTGAAATTTTATTGTTTATATGGAATTCAATCAGCAAAAGAACAAAAAAACTTTTTTTTTTTTTCTCTACAAAAAAACCTTTTCTCTTTTTTTTTTTTTCTTTTTGCAGCCGTATACGCGGTAGACAATCTATTGTTTTTTTGGGTACTATGATACAGTGATCAATTTAAGAATGGTATGTTTCAAAAAAAACGCTTAGAATTATACAAAAATTGCAGTCATCAATAATGTTTCCTATGCACTAATATAGTCACCCTGTTATAGTGTTACATATGAGCTTCAACAAAAGACTAAACAACAACAACAAAAAAAAAAAAGCAAGAAAAGACGATAAAATGACATTTAAAGAAAAAAAAAAAACAGGGGGAAAAGAAAACAGCTGAACGAACAATCGTTATTAGTGTTCGCCGGGAAACAGAGACAAAATTCCGAAAACTCTGTTCAATTTTTATAAATCGCCTCTCCGCCTCTCCACCACCCAATTTCCTTCCGCCCCCGTCTCTTCCCCTGTTGTCCCCGCCGCAGCATAACCTAAGGCAGCAGCATCCGAAGAGCATAAAGAACAACTCTTATTCTCTTTCCTGTTTTACCTTCGTCTTCTTTTTTTTGAAAATGACAAAAGTGTACAAGTTCATCGTGACCGGTTTTTCATAGCAACAGAACAGTAATCATTAGAATTTCTCTGAAACTATTCAAAAAAAAAAAAAAAAATAGACGAAAAATAATAAGAAAAAAAAACACCTTTTTTCCATTTCAATTTTCTAGTATTTGACAGTTGTTTCAATAAAATTTCCAAAAAAACATTGACATTTAGGTGAGCATTATAGTTAGTGAACCATTAAAAATCAAATTAACCTTTCGATTAATACAGAGTAATAAAACAAAGATTTTAGATGAACTAATTAACATAAACAAAAAAAAGAAAAAAATTTTTTTAAAAACGCTAATTTTTTTACTTCTTAATTTCTACAAGCAAAAATTGATAAACAAAAACAAAAAAGGCAAAAATTACATTTATCATGTGATATACAAGTGATACAAGTAAAACAAATATATAACTTTTGAAAAAAGACATAAAACATTATTAATGAGCTTTTCCCTTTTTAAGTTTAAGATGTTAACCCAAAAGTACCACTAAATAAGCCGTCATAATCATTTACCAATTGTTCAGTAACGGCAAAAGTATGATTCCAATTTTATTCCTTTACTGTTAATAGCTGTCTCTTTTCGGGTCAAGTTAAAGAAAAAAAAGAATATAAGATGAATAGAAAGGTTTCTTAGACACCTATATTGTTTCAGGTTTGTCTTGACAAAACTACCATCTTGAAAAAAAAAAAAAAAACAAAAAAAAAGCTTTGATTTATATGCATGAAATTTGGCGGAATGCTATGAACTGAGAATATTTTGCGTACCTGAAATGCATTTGCTTATTCTCAGCCACTTTTTTCGATTCTCAGTCATTGTCACAATTATACCATATTTGAATGTTTGTAGGTGCTGAAAGCCACAATTATTGACACGAAGTTCAATGATGTATTGCTGTAAGTGAAACCTGTTAGGAGACAGACTACTCAGATAATGTCAACTTGCCCAGTTCAGGTTGATTTCGACAACAAAAACGTCTGCTGTTGGCCTCTATACTGTTACTATTCAATACACCTAAGCTACACCTTTTGTCATTAGATCAATTCTTGCCAACCAGCCCACATCAAAACACACACACACACACACACACACACACACACACACAGAGATACTTATAAAAACAAACATACAGCAATCTTAATTTACTTGCTGGCTGAAGTTAGCAACATTTATTGGTATTTAGAAAGCAGAATTGTCAGCAACGGCAGAAGCAGCAACAGACAGTCTTGTAAAAAAAAAAAAGGTTTTATTCTGCATTCAGTATACAACAATTTTTAAGTAATGACTAATTTAAGCTAAACAATTTTTATTTTGAAATCTAATCACCCCTTACTATTGCTGTTGGTGTAAAATAAATCTTTGTTAAAATTTTTAAAACAATAAAAAATTATAGAAGTTTTTAAAGTCGTTATTTCTAAGAAATATTAAATTAATAACAGAGTAGAGAGATGCCATGCCGAAAAATAGCTGGTAAGTATACCGCTGCAAAAAAAGCAACAGTAAAGTTAATTCAGTCAAGTAGAGATGTGTAAATAAAAGCAAAAAAGATCTGGTTATAACACGCATGACGTAATTTAAGCTTATAGTTAAAATTCAGCAATTTTTTACTTTAAAAAAAAAAAGTTTTATTTTATAAAACTAAAATATAATTGATTATTTGAAAAGAATTCTTTTTTTTTTTTGACAAACTGACAAACTGAAGAAAATTTTTATTCAACGAGTATTTGTGT